AAAAATTTATTGGATGATCTGAAACGTGATATAAATTTTTATGAAATTTTATTGGCCTAAATTTGAAGATCATGCACATGATATTGTTTATTTGGTATTCGAATACCTATCAATTATATTATCAAATTTTCACATGACCATATAATTTTGAAAGAGTGATAATTTTCACAACCTCACAGGAGGTACCAATTTGTCATGTATCCAGTGCAACAATATTCTGAAGAATAGAGAATCTTCTCTAACAAAAACTAACAAAAAGTTATGTAATTATCATGCTATTTCTGATGATCCTACTTAATCAATTATAGCAAATTACAGAGTTAGGGAAGAGGGTCAACTTAGGAGTAAATTCTTTATTGTGATGGAGTTTTTACAATACCAAATTAGTTTGTGACTTTGCAAGGTGTATATGTAAAAGATTTAAAGTCAATAGATTATACGAAGACTTTATTTTAATATTAACTTTATTAAAATAAATACAAGAAAATATAAGAAATAGATAAGATATATAATAATAAATAATAAAAGATAAGTATATAATAATGACAAAAAAAATAATATTTATTAAAAGAATAAATCAGAGAACTGTTTGGATATTATATGAAACTTAAGAACTATTAAAACTAAACTGAACTTGAACTGACTAATCTAAAAACTAAAACTAAAGAGACCTGTATTTATATCCTTTTGGTACCCTTTGTGTTACAGAAAAACTATATTATTTTTTACTCTAGATTGGTTCTTTACCAAGTAATACAAATAATATTATCAAAGATAATTTCATTATCTATCTTCAGATATCTTACCTAGGTATATATTTGAATAAATTAACAATGATAATCCTTAAATGTAGCACTTTTTAATTCGTATCACTAATTTACAAAATTAACTATAATTATAAATAATACAAATAAAGAAGATAAAAATAGATAAAAGATAAAAATAATAATTTGAAGTGTCATAATATGAAAGTAAAAAAGTATTTAGTTAAGTGTATTTTTAATTAAAAAATAGAATCAAGTTTTAAAATTTTGTCTTCTATATAAAATAATTTTATTTTTTATAAAAACTATTTTGATTTTTTTTCTTAAAGTTAATTTCAAGATTATATATTTAATTTGCATATAGGTTATAATTTAGATATATTTGTTTCAAAAATTTTCTGATATAAAATATTTTTTATAACAGATTGAAAGTTTTAATTCTTGATTATAAAATGATATATATTTTATTTTTATAATATTAATATTTGCAGAAATATTCATATCTATAGTCAAATATCTATAAAAATTTTTTGCCATAAATTTTTGTAATTTTTTACAATTTTGACATTATAAAAGATTTTCATATACATTTGACTTTAAATATGAATATCTTCACAAATATTAATATTATAAAAATGAAATATATTATTTTGTAATCAAAAACTGGAGTTTTCAATCTGTCATAAAAATATTTAAGTAAAAAATCATTTCCTGTTATGTAAATTGTGCTGAAGTCAAAAAATATAATTTTTTACTTAATTTTCTAATGAAATATATGAATTTTTTTAATGATTAATAACAATTCACCAGTAAAGTGACAGATTATTTACTAGTTTTATTTAAAATTACTCTATTATAGATAATCAGATTAGAGGTTAGAAACAATTTTACTATTATTTTAATTTTGATTAAATTCTAATATATATTTTTTTAACATTGATAAATTTAAAATATTTTAATGTTTTTTAATCTTTGAACAAATTATAAGTAATATATACAAAATTAACTTTAAAGAAATTTTTTTCCTTAAGGATTATAATATTATCTTAATTAGAATACAAGCTAAAAATACTTTTTCAATTATAAAAAATCTATGAATAAATATAATTTTATTATATCTTGATTCACAATTCTAGATTAAATAAAAAGCAAATTGATGTATCATGTTAAATAAAAATTTTTAAATTGTGAAAAAAAATTTGTTTTTTGTATGTATTAAAATAATGTTAAAAAGAAGAAAAAAAAAAGTGAACAGTATTAAAATTTAGATACTAAAGTAGAAAAAATGGAGAACAGACCTTAATTACAAGTTTATTCATTCTTCTTGCTACTAGGTAAATTAAAGATACCTGTCATAATTCAAAAAAATGATATTATTAATTATGACATATGATACAATTAATTAAAACAAATGGCACAATTAGTTACAACTCCTGTAAATAATTATGATAATAAAAGTTTTTGTTATATTTTAAACTTGCCTTAATTATATTTTATATTGCCAAAGAAATAGGATCTAGGATAATATTCTAAACTGGAAATCTAATACTAGGTTATTTGATAAGAAACATTTTTTAAAATGTAAATAACACAAAATTTCATTAAAAAATCTACTTTAAGTCATTAATTAAAGTTGTTCAAAATTGATTTTGGCATATATTTGTAAAATGTTAATTTATTTTTATAAGCTACTTAAGGGTACAGACAGCGCGGACGCGAATATGAAAACAGTAAAAATGGTCTGATCACCTAAGTAGCACAAATAATATTGTACATTATTGTAATTACACAGTTTTGAAATTAACATTTTAGGATATAAAATATTTTAAAAAAAATGTATGCTGAAATCTCTTAATTAAAAGACCAGGTAAATCCGAATATTTAAATTAAAACACATGATTGGGTATAAACTTCATCAGCTCATTCATATATTCATTTATGTGAAGCCTTATAGCTCTTTTAGTTTCCCAAAGATAAGCATATTGTGGGCCGAAATACTACATTTTACACATACATATTTTCATTATATTAATACGTGTAATATTATTTATTTTAACCTGGTCCCTTTGTCTGAATTAAAATCGCAATATTATCTCCTTCACATTGCCTAAGCCTTTTATTTTTTATACATATTTTTTAAGATAGTACTTTTTATTAATACAAAAAAAAAAAAAAAAAAAAAAAAATTAGAAATACTATAAACTTTGGAAATGAGTTCTTATTCAAGAGTAAGTTTCCCGAAATATACAACTTTTACATTTGAGACTCTTCGTTTATCTATTTAATATTGTTCCTTATAGTAATATATGTAAGACTTTGAAACTAAATAGGTCCCTCATTCTGAAGACGACGTTCGGGAAGTCGAACTTCAAGTTCCCTCTTCAAATGCCGAAGCCTCCTCATCCAGTTCTTCGAATACCATCCTTTCAACACACAGTAATGACGAAATAATAGAGTCTGAACTCACACCCATGATTATTGAAGAAGTTATTGAAGGAACTAATGAAGTAGAAAACGAAACTGAGACAGAAAACGATTCCAATAACAATTCCAATAGTAGTGGCAGTACTAGATTTTCTATACTAAACAAAATTAAGAAAAAGATCATGAATCAAGCCGCTACTTTACCCTCAAGCACCGATGGAGTATTTGCAAACTTGTCAGCCAAACCTGACACACAATCTGATAATGAAGATAAAAATCCACCGGTTTGTGATTAAAGAATTCAGGAGTTTTCAAAAATTTACATTTTGAACCCAACTAAACTTCATTCAATAATATTTAGCCATATGAAACGGCTGCGGCAGATGCAGCACCTCCATACTTGGAAACAACTATTATTGCACCTGGATTGTGTGGAGACGAAATGCTTGTTGAGGGTTTACCTGTGGGAAATTTTTTCAGTTTTGTATGGAATATGCTTGGTGAGTGGTTAATGGAATCAAATTGAATCAAATAAATTTTGGATTGAAATATAATTTCTGATTACAGTAAAATTTTATTAGTATCCATGAGTTTTCAATTTGTTGGATTTTTGCTTACATATCTTTTACATACCACCCATTCTGCCAAGGTAATTGAAAATTAAAATTTTATGAATTTTATTCTAGAGCTGCATTATTTAAAATATGTTAATCATATATATTTTCCTTAAAATAGAATGGCTCCCGAGCTGGTTTGGGTATTACATTGGTGCAATATGGATTTTATCTTCGTGGTAGATCACTGCAAGAGGAAGGTGGTTATTATAGTAGTTATGGAGATACAGATATGAGTGATAAAGAATTATTGGCTCGTAGCGCATGGTTAAGGTTAGTCTTCATTACTTTCATTTCTTGATTTTTTTTTCATTACATATTTTACATATTTTATACTTTTGAAATTTGTAGTTATATTCTCATGTTTTTGGGATGGTTTATTGTTATCCGAAGTATTTCAGACTATATCCGGGTCAAAAGGTTGGAATCAATTATGCGGTCAAATCCTGAAGAGAATGCATGATTTCAAAATTTTTGGAATTAAAAATTTTTTTTTATTAGACATTTCAATGAGATTAAAATTAATCTTAACATTGAAGAATGTATTATTTTGTATTATTTCACTTTCTTCTCAATTCAACCTTTCATTAATTATATAAACTTTTTTTTTTAATAAATCATTTGTAAACTTTACCCTTTGATGTGAAAGGTTGATATTTCTTTCCTTTATATTTTTTTTTTTATTATCATTGCACAATAATTTCATATTTTCTCTTAATAAAGCATCGAGATAGTATGATATTTATGCTGTTATTAAGATTTTAATAATAATTATTTAAAATTTGAATTCTCGTTCATCCTTTTACTTAAATAATCTTTAAATAATCTTTAAATAGTTTTAAATAATCTTTGAATAATCTTTTTTTGATAATATCATAAAGTTCAATTAATTAATGTTTAATTATTATTAAATGATTAGAGACAAATGTTTACTAAATTAATGACAATTAATGCTTTGAAATGTGAAATATGTGAAATCTTAATCTATATTTAGTACAAAAAAGGAAAAAAAAAAGTAAATTTTACAAGTATTAAAAAATTAATATAATTTTTTCTTCTTTTATATATTTTTGGATTATCTGCATAAATAAATAAATCGTCAATTATATAAATTATATAAATTTCAAAAATAATTAAATAATTAGCGATAACATACCACCATATAAATATCTATTTATCTACAACTTCATTGTCTAGCAACAAGATTTTTGTATCTTGGCGATTTACTAAGTTCTCTGAGTTTCTCGCAACTTGGTAGATTGGTATCTTGAATCTTTTTTAACTTTTCTCTGTCCGGAAATATGTTCATTCCTTGTGCTTCTCTTATCATACGTTGTTTTGTCACTACTTCGTTATTACACTCATTTGATAATCTTTTTACATGTCTTAATTCAATTCCATATTCAAATTGTTGTAACTTTTGTGGATCTTGTTCAAAAATAGTAAACTGATTTGGTGCAATATAATAAGGAATCCGAAATGATTCTGTAAGTCGTAGTTGTGAAAAAAGTTCTGTTCGTTCAAGAGAGTAATCGGGCATAGAATCTGGTGTTGAAGTGAGCCAATTAGACGAAAAGGAGAATATAAAAAGAAGAATAAGAGGTAAAAGTTGGAAAAATGTAAGGAATGGAGATGGACGTTGTTCTCGAACACCTTCTCCATTAGGTGAAGCACGACGTGGCTGATACCGTCGTGCACGGAATCCTGGTCCAATAAATGTTGCTGAATGAAAACCTATAATAAATTTAATGTCATTTAATAGTTTATTCAACATAAAATCTGAAATATATAAATTTAATTTGAATTGTCTTGAATGTAGTTTAAATGTTAAAAATACAAACCATCTCCAAAGAACATATTGAATATTTCTTCTGGGGAAATTTCTTCAGTAAACATGGCTCCGTTTGCGAAACCATTAAAAGGTGCACTTCTGAAACCAGTTGACATCCCGGGACTACGTGAATCTGGGTCTGCGCCATGTTCATCAAATACTGCTCGTTTCTGTGGATCGCTAAGTATTTGAAACGCTTTACCAACCACTAATTTATTAAAAAATTAATCATAAATATAATAATAACGAATGACCATAATAATTAAAGTGATTTTAACAAACTTTTAAAAGCTTCGTCAGCCCCTGGTGCACCATTTTTGTCGGGATGCATCTGCAAAGCCAACTATAATAAAGTAAGAATAAATAAATAAAATAAAAATAAAAATAAAAATAAAATAAAATAAAATAAAATAAAATAAAATAAAATGAAAAGTAAGAAAAATAAAGAATTAGTTAATCTATTTAACCGTTAAACAAACAATTTATAAAACTAATTAAAAAAATAAAAAAAAAATCCTCTTAGAATAACTGCTAATAATTCTAATGCATTTTTTTTTTTCACTGAAAAAAATGAATATCTCATATCCTTTTAATCCTTTTAAAGAAAAATTACGCATATATGATTGATAGTCTTCTGACCTTTCGATATGCCTTTTTAACTTCTAAATCGGTACCATCCTTTTTTATTCCTAGTATGGCATAATAGTCATTTACATTACAAGATCTTATTCGTTTGACTGCTTCAGCTTGTTCAGGAGTGTATTCTCTAGTTTGTCTGCCTTGTTTATGTTCTCTGGAAGAACTAGACGACAGGGAAGCTGATTGACGACTACTTTCTCGATTATTTGTTTGCTTTGTCGATTCAGACCGTTTCAAAAGTACTTCCGCTTCTTTTGTCGGAAACAGTTTTATTGACTTTTTCGCAAACTTAATGGCTTCAATAAAGTTGCCCTCGGAAAAGTGTTCTCGTGCGATTTCGAAACACCTGTTCGCTTCGTCTTTATTACTTTCCATCATATTAGTTTCGCGTGACGTATTAATATAAGGTTTACTCATTAACTTTAATTGACTTTAATTCGCTGAATTTAAACAATTTTGTAAAATACTTGGTGCTATTCGTTTTCGATACGATCGATACGATCTTGTATTTAATAACGTATTTAATAACGATTGGCGATTGTTCGACTTGTGAGAATAAAATAAAGATTGTTGTACTATGGTACACTAATCTCAATCAGATATGGTGATCTTTTCAAAAAAATTTATGGATTTTAAATAATAACTAAAGTTATCCTTTAACTTTGGTTTTCTGAAATTATTCTCTATATTGTTTTCCTATATTTAGTACGTGACGTATAGGATGTTTTATGTCTTTTTATCTTTAAACGTTTAATACCTTACCATATTATTTTAAAATACTAAAAATACACGAAATTTTATGCGACGCACATTCATAAAGGACGCGGATTATAGATTATTTTTCTTAAATTGTGTGGCGTTCTTCTATTCATGGGACTTCTTAATAAGATTTTCTCTAGATAGAAATGCTTTTATATATAATATTATATTATATTATATAATAATAACAAACAAAAAAATAAGATAAAATAAAATAGACACCTGATAAATTTCAAGATTTACACAGCCCCCGAGATTCTCGAATACTTTTCCCTATAAAATTTATCCTTTTTCGGAACTTGTCAAAAAAGAATAAACTTCATGGGAATTAATATATGATGTTAACGTGATCCCATTGGAACAGTAAAGCAATTATTATTTATTTAAATTATCAAATTAATATAAAATAAAACTTTTTAAAAAGATATACATAATAAAAATAATCTAATTTTTTTTTTTTTCAGTTAACTAATTTCCATTGATGGCAAATTTTTAATTAGAAATCCGATCCTGGAATTTTGAAATTTTCTGCAAACACGAGATACCTCTCAACCAATTTTGCTACGGGAGGCGACAAATTCATAGAAATAAGATTGTAATGTATCTTAGAAATCCCTTCAGATCGAATTAATTTGTTAAGATTATATGAAATGGCTGTTGGATACTATATAATTGATGTAATTAATTATAAGAATCAAAAATCAGAGAAATTTATCAAAAAATAATTATGTAAAAATTTTTTATTTACTTACAACTATTTCGTGATACCATCTTTCCTGATAAACTGCCAATTTTACAACGGCTGTTAAAGTATTGTGAACATCTCTTTCCTCTGCATGGTATTCTAATAATTTTAACCATGCTTTTGCTGAAAATTTATGGTCAAGGCAACGTTGATAAGCTTCTTTGGCATCTTCCTGAAAATACCAAATATATTAGAATTTATAAAAAATTATTCAGAAATCAACATAAATCCCTTGAAGAAATATAAAAAAAATATTTTTTCACCTTATGATGCAACCTTGCCGCCAAATCACCTAAAATTTCCCATTCTGTACCCGTTTTTCGATAAGACATGTGATGAGCCTTATAATGGGAAACCTCAGATCTCCAAACTGTATAAACCCTCAAGTCCTATATATCAAAGAATGCGTTTACCTAATCAAATTTATAATTTTTATGTATAAAACTTAAAATCAGAGTTTAAGTTCGACAAAATTACCTCATATAAAACCATGAAAAGATTGTCAAGCCATCTTATAAAAATTATAATTCATTAGTTGGTTTTCTTTTTTGCTTAATAAAATAATGAAATGATATTGTAACAAACCTCTCACAGAGACGCTTGTTGTTAAATGAGAATGAGTAATCTTTCTTTGCATCCTAAAAGATTTTTAATAGATTTTTAATAGATTTTTAATAGATTTTAATATATATTGGAAGATCATGCACTAATGCTTGACGGAACTGGTCATAATTTAATAAAGTACCTTGTTTTGATCATCATTCTGTATACTTTGATTATCATTCTTTTCATCATTAGCAGCTTGTGAAGGTTTCTCTAATTCAGGACCTTTGAATTCTATCACTGGATCCTGATTATCCTGATTATCCTGATTATCCCGATTATCCTGATTATCATTATCCCGATTATCCTGATTATCCTGAGGAGTGTCACTATCTTTCCGACCAGATTTATCATCATCAAGATTAACCTCTTCCAATGTATAAGAATCAAGAGATTGTTCATCAACAGGTGCTGCATGATAAATTTCATTTTCTTCTTGGCCACCATCAGTTTTCTCTTCTTGACGTCCATTAGCTTCCTCATGAACTTCATTAATTGTTTCTAAAAAAGTCGAATGTTGTTGCGTTTCTGAAGAATTTTCATTCCCCATTTTATTTTGATCATCATCAGAAACAGTAATCGTAGGTATGGACTGTGATGAATCGTTAACACCATTTGTCTTAGAATTTTCAATCTCTGCATCCTTTTTACTTTCTCTTGGTTGAGGTTCCTTTTTACTTTCTTTTGGTTGAGTTTGATCCTTTTCACTTTCTTTTGATTGAGATTGAGTGGTAGTAATAGTAGCAGCTGTTTTTTGGCTTTTTCTCTCTTCTTCAGCAGCTTTCTGCATCCGATATTCCTCTTCCATTACGAAGACAGATGACCGACACTTTAATAATTCATCCCAGCCAATCTTGGCAACCAAACGTGTTAATAATGAATAGGCTTTGGCAAATGTACCACGAAGAGATGGCGCAGGTAATCGCAAGAGAGCGACATCGGCCTTTAAATCAAAATCAAAATTAAAAAATTAGATAATTTCTCAATAGTAATATAAATAAAAAATAAAAATAAAAAAAAATAAAAATAAAAAATGGATGATATATTAAACAAAAAAAATTCATATAATTGCCTCATTATCTCGTCCATTATCTTCTTCTAAAATTCCCGCATTCATAATTTCTTGTTTAATTGGAAGATGGGTTTTGGCTGGTGTTGGCATACGATGCATATCTCTTTCATTATATGTAAACATCGGACACGAGTTCAGTGTCAATAATGCCTTTAATTACAAATTAATTACAAGTTAAATTAAGTTAATTACAATAAATAAATAAGGATTTGAATTAAAAAATTATTTAAAAGAAATTATTCGAAGAAGTAAAAATAAAGTAAATAAAGTAAAGTAAAGTAAAGTAAAGTAAAGTTTACATACAGATTCATAGTCACCAATCTCAGTATATACTTCGGTCAATTTAGCCCAAGTGACAAATTCAGATGGTGCACAATTTACCGCTTGTTTAGCGAGTTTAAGAGTATAATCGGTTTTACCCTAATATTATGAACGAAATCAATACAATGAACGAATAATGAATGAATAATGAACGATAATAATAATAATAATAATAATAATAATAATAATATATAATAATAATAATAATAATAATAATAAATAATAATAAATAATAATAATAATAATAATAATAATAATCATCATCATCAAAATAATTAATAATCATTAAATTGATATAAATTGATATATAATAAACATTTTCACATTATTCATTATTTCATTATTTACATTATTTACCTTTGATAATAAGAAATCAGTTTGTACATGTAACAAAGCATAGCTCATTTGATTTTGTTTTAATGCTTCATACAAAATATTAACCGCTTTTATTTCTTCATCTATAATGTAAATACTTATATAAATCAATTGGTTACGTTTGAAAAAATTATATTTAAATAATTATAGAAATTAAACTACTTGCCCATTCCAATATATGATCTGGCTAATAACGAGGCAACCTCCGGATCTTTTAAATACAGTAAAATATTACATTAAGGAATTATTTAATATCAATAATGATAATAATGATAATAATGATGTAATCACAGTAGAAACTTTAAAGTAAAGATCAAAGGATATATTTCTCAAAGAGATTAACTGCACGTTCATATCGAAAATTTTCGCTAAAATATTTCATGATGCCTGTAGTTAAGTGATTACTAACAACAGTTGCGACTTGAATTTCTGGTTCAGAACCCAGCTGCCACCCTAATTATCAAACAAATTTACATAAGATATAAACGAAATATTATTATAATAAGGTTTCTTCGTACAATAGAACTGTTCAAAACCTTTAAAAAAGATATTTTCTGTAGCCTCTAAAAAATGAGCTTCAGCTTCTATATTAGGGATAGGATCTAATTTACGGAAACCAGCCAATCTATAGTTCGCATCATCTGAATAAAGTATGGAACGCAGAAGTGCTGAAATATAAGTTTCTTGCCAAATTTCAGGTGTCGCTTCATGTCTAATAATAATATCATTAATATTATTATTAATATTATTCATTATTATTATTATTATTATTATTATTATTATTATTATTATTATTATTATTATTTATTATTATTATTATTATTATTATTATTATTATTATTATTATTATTATTATTATTTATTATTATTTATTATTATTATTATTATTATTATTATTATTTATTATTTATTATTATTTATTATTATTATTATTATTTTAATAATTAATTCCAAAAACTAATTCTTTCATATAAAGTATATCACATTATTTTTACCTTTCACCTCGCAAATCTACCACATAACTTTCAACACCACCAGGAATTTTTACTTCAACACGCACATCCACACGTGAAAACGCATTGAAGCAACTAGATCGAAAAACACAATTAGATATCTAGCTTGAATAATTACAAAATTTTAATATGCGTTTTATACGTACCAATAAACTCCCGAACGAATTCTCCAAGCTGATGATTTAGAAAACCAAGCATGGGTTTCTTCCTTAAAAAAAATAAATATGTAAATGACGATGCCTAAATTTGATCGTAAAACACGCATCAAATAAATCAATTGATAAATACCAAAGCATAAGTCAATGAATTTAAGTATGCTGCTAAAGTAGCGGAAGATGATGCATCAACACCGGAAACATAATGGTAAGATCCAACCTAACATAAAACAAGTGAAACATATATGAATATATATATATATATAATGAATTAAATAAAGATGTATAATATAAAACAAATCTCGCTTAAAAAATTTTTTTAATCGAAAATGTGTAAACTTCAGTACAAAGCAAAAGGGAAAACAATAAGCAAACCTCTTTCACACCAGGTTTAGCATTAGCTTTAGTTATATGACAGAGATCGGCAGGACCAAGCTCTCTAAAAGAAGCTATATAATAAATGTAATAAATTTAATAAATGTAATAATGTAATAAATGTAATAAACGTAATAAATTTAATAAATGTAATAAATGAATAATTAAAAATATTCATTAATTCATTATCATTTTTTTTTTTTTTTTTGCTCATTATACTTTTGTTAGAAAACCAAAAACCAAATATAATATGAAATTATACCTAGACTTTCCGTTCTGGCATTTAAAGACTCATCAAGTTGTGTTTCGAAAAACTCTGGAACATCTTTCAAAGTATCCATGGTTAATGGATACTAATTACGATATTTTTTGTATGAGTCGCCAGCTGCTCGGGAAAGCTAAGCAAAATTTTAATAAATTTTATAGATTATTATTATATATTATTGGATGTTGTGTCAACTTCAATATTTAAAATATTTAAAATTATACCATTCTGATTGAACTGTTTAATCGTGTGACCTAAGTTCGTGACGCGATGTGTCACAAAGTAATTGGGTGAATATAAGGTTAGTTTGACGCGCTTTTTTTTTTTTAAATTCAATATTCACGCGATTAAGAATAAAATTTAGACTTAAAAAATTTTTAAAAAATGAGTTTCTCCATAGATTTCATTATTGATCATTCTAGTGATGTTGATAGATGCTTAGATGCAAACTCATATATTTTTCCTTGGGACGAGAATTTCAATGCAACAAAAGACGAATCGCAATCACAAACCACACCACTTCCAAAATTGAAACCTGATTTCCAATCTTCACCAATAACAAAAAGTATACCCATTATATCAACACCTCAGCCACCTAAATCAACAATAATAAAATTAGTTATTCCGAAAACAGCACATACTCGTTCAACTACATCAAATAAAACACAAACATCTGAAATAACACAGACTCTGGTTCCTCAATCAAAATCAAACATGAGTAAGCCAGTATCATATCAAGAAGAAACAATATCACAGAAAGAAGAAATAGTATCGCAACAGGAAGAAATAGTATTAAAACAGGAAGAAATATCACAGCAAGAAGAAACAGTGACTAACGTTGGCTCTGAAAAACTTAGAATGAAACAAGAATGGGTTAAACGAATGCGATTGAAATTTAGTGTTCGACCCGAATTTGAAATTACAAAAAACATTTTGCATCCTGATGGAACTTTGAATCAAGAGTATAAAAAAAATAAGAATTATAAAATCTTTTCGTATTTATTTATTTATTTATTGAATAGGTGATAATAGACATTAAAAATGTTATTTGTTGACATAAAAATAGTTATTTTCGACCTCCAAAATCATGTGTACCTCAATTACAACGTAAATGGACAGAAAAAGAACGTGCTTTATTAATGAAAGGAATCCAGAAATACGGAATCGGTCATTATAGAGAGATTTCTGAAGAATTTTTATTGGATTGGGTTTGTTCACATGACTTCCATGTTAATTTGTTCATCTTGATAAATTTGTTTTAGTTAATAATTAATTAATTAATAATTTATTTATTTATTATTATTATATTTATTTATTTATTTATTTATTATTATTATTATTATTCTTCTTCTTCTTCTTCTAATTGAAATTGATAAGACTGCACAGGATCTTCGTGTAAAAACTATGCGTCTCATTGGAAGACAGAATTTGCAACTTTATAAAGACTGGAAAGGGAATGAAGATGCGATAAAAAAAGAATACGAACAAAACAAAAAAATTGGATTAGAAGTTGGAATGTGGAAGGCAGGAACGCTAGTTTATGACGAAAAGGGAGTTGTATTAAAGATGATTCAAAAGATGACAGATGGCAAAAAAAGAAAAAGGAAAGCTAATGATAACTTAGAAGAAGAAGAAGAAACGAATGTAGAAGAGATATCTGCGGTTGAAGAAGATGAAGAGAAAGATAATGAATCAGTGTTTGAATAATAATTAATAATTAATTTTAACTATTATCATCAGATTCAAATGGAGAAATGACCAAATTGAAATTGATTAAATAGAAACGTTTTATTATGTTAAATTTAATTCTTTAAATAACTTCCTTACCTTTATACTAATAATAATAATGATGATGATGATAATAATAACAACAACAACAACAATAATAATAATAATAATAAAATTAGTATACAAAAAATTAAAATATAAACAGACGAAAATAATTGTATTAAAGAAAATAGATTGGTATAATATACAATAGTACAAAAAAGTTACAGAAAATTCATGAAAAATCTTCTAATAATAATAAAGTCCATTATCATTCTCTGTACTCTGGGCGATCCAAAGTAAAACAGAACTATAGAATAAAGAAATTAGACGATAAGTTTTACAAAAAGCATTAAGATACATCAAAATGCATCAAAAATGAAATAATAATAATATAATAATGAAACTCAACCAGACCTGAGCATAATGGAAAAATTTTGTACTACAACAGCCACTCCAAAATAAATATACGTCTCAGCCTCAGGTACAATGTATTTAAGAATTAAGATAGTCTTGTAAATATGAATATAAAAGAAATAAGTAATGAAAACCCGAAAATATTGGTTATTAAAATGTGCGACGCGATAATACATAATGAACATATACCGCAGATCCTGCCAAGCCACCCGCCATTAGTGCAAAGCCAATAAATAAGAATGTACGTTCTCGCGTAGAATGAAACACACCAGATTTACTAATTGAGCATACACTATATATATTATATATATATTATATATATTAATTAAATGATGATTATTATTATTATTATTATTATTATTATTATTATTATTAATTATTATTATTACATTATTAACATTTCAAGATCAAATTAAATGAGAATTCAACCTACATTATCATTCCCAACGTACTAAAAATTCCGCATAACCAATCCTCAAAATTTATTACTGGTGAATCTTGAGGTAAATCTTGCTTGGTGGCAGAAAGAACTACTGCATCAATAAAAAACCACCAACCTATAGCGAACTAATTATTACAAAAGAAAAAAAAAATCGAAAAAAAAAGTAACAGAATTAATAGCTGATGTGTTCACCGATAGTTAATTCTAACGTGAATACAATGAGTTATAAAGTTTAGATAGTACCAGTCCACCGGCAGCATAAATTCCGACATCCCTCTTCTTTTCCACTAATTGAGATAATTGCGAGATCGGAATAAGACAAATGCGACAGTGTTCATTTTCATCCAAACGAGGATAATATGACATTGATGAAATTTTTTGAATTTAAGAGAGAATTATTTCATACACTACATTTTGTGCCATTGTTATTCTGTATTTATCAAATGGATCAGCAGTATACGTAATGAATAATTTAATTTTTAATTTTCCCACGGTTAAGAATAAAATTAATAAAAAATTTTCATAAATTTTTAGAAATTTTATAATGTCATTGTCACTTTCGAATCAAACAAATCAAACAAATCAAACACCTTTCAAGGTATTTAAAAGTGATTTTTTTTTTTCAGGTATATTCAAGATATATGAAGTTACGGTTCCAATTTCTAATTTGTAGTTAATGTGCTATTCCCAAACGGTCCTATAGACAGAATATGCTGTTGATATGACGTGTGAATCCTGTGTTAACTCCGTTAAAGAAGTTTTAACAAAAATTCCAGGTAAATTATTACAGAATTACAAACTTTCAGTATAATGTAAATTTAATCTCATTTGGTTTTATAATATTGTAGGAATTACTCGTTTTGATGTTGACCTCAAAGAACAAAGAGTAGTAGTCGAAGGAACAGGTTTTTGAATTTTTATAATTAATTAATTGCAATTAACATAAATAAATATAGAATTGATTTTTATCTCTTTATTTTATTAGCACCCCCTTCCATGGTATCAAAAAATTTGAAGGAAACTGGAAAAACAGTAATTGTTCGCGGACAAGGATCTATCAAGGGTAAATTTATAATTATTTATGAAATTATACTTTAAAATATTTAAAAATAAAATATTCAAAAAATATTCAAAATATTCAAAATATATTTATATACAGGTCCGCATTCTGGAGCCGCTGTATGTATTTTTGAAGATTTCACATATACTCCTCCAAAGAATGCAAATAATGCAAAGAATGAAAATGAATCAAACCGACAAAGAAAACCACAGGGGCTTGCTCGTTTTGTACAAATTAGCAATAATGTCTGCCTTATTGATATCACTGTGCAAGGAATTTCACCAGGATATCACGGAGTTCACATTCATGAATTAGGTGATATCTCAGCTGGTCCTTCAAGCACGGGAAATCATTATAATCCGGAGAATGTTGAACATGGAAATATGGAAAAAGGACACGTTGGAGATTTAGGAAATATATTAATAGATGAAAAAGGTTGGGGAGATCTTGTGGTTGAAAGTAATCATATAAAAGTATGGGATGTTATTGGGAGATCAATGGTTATTTCTCAGGGAAAAGATGATGAAGGTAAAGGTGGTAATGCACAAAGTAAGATTGATGGCAATTCTGGACCAGGTCTTATTGCCGGAGTAATTGCGCGTAGTGCTGGTGCATTTGAAAATCTTAAGAAGGTTTGCTCATGTTCTGGAAAAACACTTTGGGAAGAGGCCAGATTATAAAATTAATTGATTACAATATTTATTTGTTTCTAAAAAAAAAAAAAAATTTAAACTTAAATCTCGATTAAAATTGATTAAAGCTCAAAAATCTAAAAAAGAGCATAAAAATCACATTACATCTACTTTTTTAAATCCCATAATTGTTATCTTTTTAATGTTAAATTATTTTTTGTTGTATTATTACAAATATTATAACAAATATTATAATCGGTAATAAGATAAACTAATAAATAAATATTAAATATTTTTATCAATTCATTAATTGTCTTTGAGATTATCATTAGTCTCATTATCTTCACACTTGTATTTACAAAATGATAATTTCTTATAAACCCAACTTCCAGTTTCCCTATTTTTTCCATCTAATTGTAGTCTATTATTAATCAATCTATAAAGACTAAGGAATTCTTTATCTTCGGGCAACCAATAAAAATATTGCGAAATAGTCTTTTCTCCACGTTTAACTTTGTCACGTTGACGTTGTTCAATCTCAGCCTATAAAAAAAAAATTAAAAAAATTAAAAAAAAATTAATGCATAAAATCAAAAATGTTATTATTGTTAATATAATTTACCTTTAATTTAGAAGCAGTCGCAAAATCACCTTCATTGATCGCCTTGGCAACATATTGCCAAATATTTTTACTTTCCATAGAATTTTGTTCTTCCACTGGTTTTATAATAGGTTCAGCTCTTTGGGATGTCTCAACGTTAAAAAATTCAGTCTTCTCTTTAGTCTGATGATTTTCTTTAATAGATTTCCCTCCCCAATTTCCAAAAATCGTATACAAATGTTCCTTTTCTCCAATACGACTTGTAATTGCAGAGAATGTATGTTTCTCTCCAGAAATCCAACCTTTTCCGCTGAATTCAATAACTGTACTATAATTTTGAGATTGAATTACACTTGTGCCGCTATAATATAATGAAAATAATTAAAATAATTAAAAATTAATTAAATAAATAATAGTCAATCAATTTTTAAACATTGCGTACCTTAATTCTACATATGGAGCGCCCCTCCATAGTCCAAGAATTTGTAAAGATGGCAAAGTGATTAAATACGTATCGGGATAATCTCTCATACGAACGATTATGTGTCCCATTTGTGTAACATCGATACGTGCAGCTGTTGCCCTAAAGGTACTTTTTTGACCAGCTGAAATAAATAAACAACCGAGTATAAAATATCAAATAATTCAAATAATTCAAATAATTCAAATAATTCAAATAATTCAAATAATTCAAATAATTCAAATAATTCAAATAATTCAAA